ACCGTTCGACTACGCCGTTGCTTAAAGCTGGTTTTCATCGCGGAACAGCACGCGAAACGACGGCCGCAATTTCTGATAACGAATTTTTGGCGGAAAAATAACTTGACCTTTGGAGACATCATTAATATAAATAATTTTTATGGCCGTTGAATAAGAAGTGTTTCTTTCACAAGAAATGTATAAAATTAGTGCTGTATTAGACTTACGGTACCTAATTTACATACTGTACAGATGATAATAAACTGAACTTACTAGCCTAAAATCTCCGTAGCGTGTTGCCAGGTGGCAGAAAGCATATATATAATTATAATAAAGTTACAATAAATTAAGTTAATATATAATTATATATACAGTACCTAATTTATATATAATTAATATATAATTATATGTACAGTACTTAATTTATATATAATACTGTACAGACGATAGTAAACTCAATTTACCCGCCTAAATTCTCCGTAGCGTGGCGCTGGACGGCGGAAAGTAGTTCCTCGCGTTTCTTTATGCAGCGCTCGAGAAGCGCTTTACAGCGAACAGACTGAAACTGGTTTCTAATTGGCCAACACTGCTCGTGACGTCATTTCGCTACACTCTAGCTGCATAAAGAAACGCGGGGGTTCGGCTGCCCAATGACGTTTTACCGAATTATAGTTTTTTTTACCAGGTTTTACCAGGATACCGTCGCAATTTTTTCGCCGTCTTATAGGAATCGTAATTATAGGAACCCGTGTTATAGGGGAGGTCTACTGTATAAGTATGGTTATTGAAGGCTTCTGTAAAAAAGTCAGAAAGTAGTTTTTGGGAAGCCGGATGGTAATATGGAACCCCATTGTATGTTTTCAAAAAAATGCTTTAATATATTCAAAAACAAATAGAAAAGTATCAAAAAATTAATTAATTACAAAATCATTTACTCCAATGTATTTTATCGAAAAAATGCTTTAATAATAAAAAAAAATATGACATCCATCAACAATATATATTACACCAGCTCTTTTTCGATATTCTCAGGAAGAATTGGCTTTCTAACTAATGTCTTTTTCATAAATTGCTACGGACGAATGTCTGCTCACAAAAAGAGAGTTCGCAAAGTAGTTTTTGGTACCTCATAAAATTTTGCAGCTTTCTTCAGCCCTATTTTCTTGTCTCTTACATACTCACTGCCTCTGTCATTTTCTCCTGGCTCGATGTTTGTCTCTTCGGGTTTTTCTTTGGCTTGTTCAGCTGGGCTCTAAGCATTTGAAAATTAAAAAAAATCAATTCGAAAAAATCAGTTTAAAAAACTGATTTTTTCGAATTGATTTTTCTGTACCTATCTGTACCTATATTCTGTACCTATATTCTGTACCTAAAAAAACTGTTCTGTACCTATCCAGAACAGTTTTTTTTTAACCAAAATAACTTCAGAATTTAACTAGATCTACTTATTTATAGTTTTAGGTATCTATTTCTAATTTTTTCATTCATCCACCACATACTTTTACAAAAATTATTTCATGGTTTGAATTTGCGGGTAATACGGAACCCCAGAGAAGTCGAGTTCCTCGTTAAAAGCACTAATGGGGTCCGTATTTCACGCATCGCTATCTTAGGTTAACTTAATTTTTGTCAACACCCAATTTTAAAACGTGAACATCAGACAGACTAACACGTACTCCTAGGCATGTAGAACAGGACACATGCACTAGGGAACCTACCACTACATGATTTATATTTTAGAAGTAATTCACTTACCATTCAAAAGTTTGGAATTGCGAAAAACACAAACGTCCCCATAACTAAAGTGGGAGGCATCCTCCCCTTGCAATAGATGTCTGTCTAGTGCAGCTTAGCCACAATTTCCTAGAATTCGCATCTATAATCAGTTTGAAATGGAGGAGTTCCATAACACCACCTCTTCTACATATTAAAACAACTTTTCAATAAGTTTTTGAATTTATGTACTGTACAAACTACGCCAAAATAGTTTTACAGTAGAGCATCGATTATCCGACCCCCGATTAACCGTCACCTCGGTTAACCGACCTCGTTCTAGTCGGCAAATTCAAATGACCGCTAGTGATGTGGCACTACAATATTTGGCTATGTCTTGGTTACTTTAATATTATTTTTGTTAAATTTTTACGTGTTTTAGCTGGTTACACTGACTCGACGATGAAAGGGAGGCCAGTATTTAAACGAGGCTTAATTTTTTAATTATGAGTGGTTGTGTTAAGATTAATCATATTCGTTTTGTAAACCGCGCTTAAGTTAAGCGTCATCTGTTCATTTTTTATGTCAGGTCATTGAAAGACCGCTATGGATCGAGTGTCAGTTGTATATACAAAAGATAAATTGTTTA